AGCCTTTGACTGCCTCTTTTATTGTCGAAGGCTCATTATACCTTTCATTGGCCACCTTCAAGCTTCGAATCTCATTTTTTAACCTTCTACGATTGATACAAGCATGGAAAAATTTTTAGTTAGCATCTCCTGCTTGCAACCAATTAAGACGAGACTTTTGAAATAACATATTATCCTTAAGAGTCAATGATGGACACAACTGAGCTCTCCACTCCTTTCTTTACACAACTTCAACTTCTTGTAGATTAGAATCTTCACTCTTAAGATCCAACATGTTAACAATATTCCAAGCTTCATTTATTTTCTTGTCTAAACAACCAAATGTCTCTTGATTCCACCAACGCAATCTACATTTTAAGAGCTTGAGTTTCTCCTTTAGTACAAATGCAGCTCTCCCCTCCACATCTAATTCCTTCCATTGGGACCTCACAAATACGGCGTACCTCGCATCACTCCTCTAGCAATCAAGAACTCTAAAAGGCTTTGGACCCGAATTGATATCTTCATTTTTCATCAAAATAGCACAATGATCTGACACACCTTTACTAAGGCCCCATTGTGTTGTATGTGGCCAATAAGACAACCAAGCATTTGAAACTAAGAATTTGTCTAATCTTCTCATACACTTTCCATCTGTTTTGTACCATGTATATTTTCTCCCTATTAACAGTAAATCCACCAACTTAGCCTCAGTAATAAATTCATCAAAGCACTTCATATCATCTTCTCTCCAGTAGGAACACACTCCTCTCCTCTCCCCCTCAACCCTTACAGCATTAAAATCACCTCATGCACACCATAAATCACCTCCACGACACCTCATCACCTCCACTAGACACCACCACAACGTTTTTTTCCTTTGCAGATCGCAGGGAGCATATATGTTTACAAAAGAACACTCAATATTATTTTCCCCCCACAACCCTTTCACACCAATAAAATGATCCCCAGAAAAAGACTTAGTCATTATAAATTTTTCCTTCTGCCAAAGAGATAGCAACCCTCCAGACAACCCAACAGCAGGTTTAGAAACCCAATCATAATCCACTTCACCAGTTAAAGAAGCACAGAATATGTCATCAATTAATTCCTTTTTTGTTTCTTGTAAGAAAAAGACATCAACCCCCTCTGAGCATAGCAACTTCCTTACCTCCAACTTTTTCACCCTTCCCCCTATGCCCTTAATATTTAAAGAAGCAACTATCATTCATATTAATTCAGCACCCTAGTAGGAAACTATCAACAACCCAACATCCTACAGCTTACCTCTTCCAGCAGCCACCTGATCCCTACTTTCCATATTTTTCAATTTTTGAAGGATATCAGAATCTGAGCTCACCCCTTCTATCCCCAGCTGTTTTCCAATCTCCCAAACACAATCAACTATACTCTTAGCGCCCATATTTAGCAACCTATCAACATGTTGTAAGTCATTGACAGGGCTAGAAGCACTTACTTCTGAGCTTAATTTCTTTCGTGGTCTACCCTTCCTCCTTCTAGACTCCGCAATGTGAATCACTAGTTTTGAACAAAAATTTGTGATATTTGACGTTAAATCAACCAATTGAATTGGCACCTCACATATATGATCTTCTGAGAGCTCAACCCAACATGAATTGGAGCCAATCGCATCAACACAATTCAGGGGTTCTTCAACATTAGGGCCAATTTCTGGTTCAGCCAAAATATCAATCTTCCTTCCAATTATTTCATTACCAACCGGACCTAGGTGAATACCTTCATCAACCATATGGCCCAATGAAAGAGACAATCTCCCTACCTTCGCACATGCCGACCTCTGAGCCTCCTTTGGGTTAACACAACACATAATAGACCTCACACTTTCCTTACCAATAGCCTCAAGATTTTGGGCCAATGAATTGGTATCATTCACCACGTCCTTCCCACTAATAATATTGTCCTCAAATTAATTACTCTCTATACTAGGGGGCTTCCCTCCTGCTATGTCAACAACCCCACAAGGAATATGGGCCAGCAAAGTATCACGGCCCACCATAAATCCTTCTAAATTCTCATGGTCGTTTCTCCTCCTATCACCATTCACATCATTCCCACAACGGTCATCTAACAATTCATGCTCGTTGCTCCACCTAACAAGATTTTGGTCCAATAAATTAGTAACATCCACCACGTCCTTCCCTCCAGGAATATGGGCCCCAATTGAATCACGCTCCACACCATTATTCATGCCTCCCTCTACATCAACTACACAAGGGATATGGGCCAACACATTATCACAAGAGACCACTGCACCAACTTTGCTTCCTACCTCACCACTTCACTTGTCATGCTGAATTGATGTTGTAGATATCTCCACCAAGCTCGGTTGTCCATCACCATAATTAGTTTCACATATATCTCCTTGGAGAATATTCGCCTCAGCATTTATAACCAATAAATCCAAAATAGATTTATCTTCATTTAAAATATAATTACCTCCCAAACCAAAATCCCGATTATGAGTAATTAACTCCCCATGATTCTCTACCTGATTGAGTGTTACTATCTCATTTTGAATTTCAAAAATATCATGCTCCCCATTTCCATCTCGACAGAAATCAGCCCAAGCACTATCATTACTAAAGTAGTCCAAAGAACAATCACTCAACGCCTCTGACTAAGAATTTGAAATATTTCTATTAGGTAACACTCTCCAAGGAAAGATTAAAAGAACTTCAACAACCTTAATTGAAAAAGAATTATTAATCTTAATTTTCAAACAAGTATTAATAATCTCCTCTAACGTAGTATGAATCAGCATCCACGCTACATCCAATCTATCCTTATTCTTTATTCTACTATCAATACACACAAACCTCCCAAATGTCGTAGCAATCGACCTAAAAAAAGTTTCATTCCAAGCATGAAGTGGCACTCCATTGCATCTAAACCATACATAGCGTGCACATGGAACATCTTCTTGACTCCAAGGGCGAATTGAGCCAAACCATAGTGAAAATACCTCATCTAACTCTTCTAACAACTCCTCGCTATTCTCCTCACTATCAGGTTGAATTAACACTTTCAACATTGGAGTGAACTTAATAGATAGGCTTCCTTCAGCAATAATCTTTTCCTGAAGTGTGAATATCTCATCAACCTGACGCACCTGACCAATATAGCATTTTCTCAACCAAACCATTTCAGTGTCTAGGACTTGAAATTCCATACCACTCCATGTATCAGCACTCTTGTTAGCATGACTATCTTTGGGCTTCCACACCTTCCTTACACACTGCCTTGTATGTCCTCTAGCAACATCCAAATATGATTTCCCTTCCATAATACTGGTTACCTTCTTTTATTGGCACCCTTGACCCGTGGACTGAGAATGATCATCAGATTCATCACCAACTAAAATTCCACTGTCTTTGTTTTTTGCTAAATCATCACTCTCTTTGTTTTTCGCATACCGAGAAACATTTACACGAAGTTTGTAGGTACCAATCCAAATTTGACTCAACTTGTTCTCCATCAAGCACTGATCAACATTATCCATGAATCTAACAAAACCAAATTGATATCCTCTCTTATCCCTCTCTTTTGGAATGTACACATCAGCTACCTTCCCTCCCCATTTCGTAAAAACTTTCCACATATCCTCAGTTCCAAAGCCCTCTGGAAAATTTGAAAAGAAGAAAGAAACATATCCAGGACTCTTTTGATTAAACTGTATCCACTGCCGATCCCACGCACTCCTAGTGTTCCATCTATCCTTTGGCAATCTGTTCACTACTATAAAAGTGTCATTTTTCTGCAAATTTTCTTGCAAAAAAATATTCGTAGAAAGTTTTTGCGAAATTTCCTGCAAAAAATATTCGCAGAAATTTTTTACGAATTTTCCTGCAAAAAAATATTCGTAGAAATTTTTTGCCAATTTTCCTGCAAAAAATAATTTACAAATATTTCTTAAAAATTTTGCTACAATTTTAATAATCATGGAAAAAAATTTACATGGTAAAAATTTGCAGAAAATATTGTAAGAATTTTATTTTGTTTCTTGCAGATTTTCTTGCAAAAATAAATTCGCAAGTAATGTTTACTAAATGGTAGAAAAATTTTGCAGGTAATTTTTCTTGCGAATTTTCTTGTAAATTTTGATTCGCAGGAAAAATAAAAGAATATATTTAAATTCATAAGTTTAATATTTTAAAAAACCTTCAAGTCCCACATCGATTGAAAATAAAATAATTAAAGAGTATATAAGTTGGGGCAACACTTACCCTTACAAGTTGAATTGTATAGTTGAGTGTTAGGCTTATAATCTACAATCTTAGAATTTAAAAGATTATGTGTGAAACATGAACATAAAAAATTATGAATTCTTAAAATATATAATTTATAGTAATTTTTTTTTAATTTTTTCGTAAAAAATATTCTTGCGGAATTTCTTTTGCAGGAAACTTTCTTGCGAATTTTCCTACGAAATTTTTTTTTGCAGGAAAATTTCCTGCAAATTTTTTTTTGCAGGAAACTTTCCTGCGAATTTTTTTCGCAAGAAATTACGCAAGAAAATTTTCTGCGAATTTTAAAATTCACAAAAATATATTATCCACAAAAGTATTACTTGCAAATAAAATTTCGCAGAAAAATTTGTAGGAACAATATTTCTTGCAAATTTTTATAAAAAATTTGCAAGAAAAATAACACGTAATAAAAGAAATTCGAGTAGTAGTTGTCCTCTTGAATAGTATCCATTCTCGGTCGAAAGTCCTTCCATCTTCTTGATCTCACCAAGGTCTAATCCCTCGCGTTCTCTCCTTCCTTTGGCTCTGTTCCCGTTTTCATTTTTTGACTACTTAGTACTTTTATGATAAGAATCCGATATAATATTGAATAGAAGCCACGCCGTCCCCACTTAGCAAACCGCCGCCGTCAGCGTCTTATTATAAGTGGACTTTGAGTACCCTAAAAGCTAAAATCACTCACAAATAGGCAAATCAATTGCAGAATTTTCTCTTTAAGTAAAATAATAAACTAAAATAATAACGACGACCTTGACTCGACCCCTTCAAAGACTCGATCTTTCTATCCTGCTTTCAGTGTACCTATTTATTTAGAGCATCTGCAGCGTAGCAACCCACCCTGCATATATGCTCTTAGAAGCAACCAACTCACCGCTGCATACGTTCTTTATGGAATAGGTATCCACTGGGTTTTGAGGCTGAATCGTTAACTTGACGGGGTGAGGTTTTTGACAGGGTACAACTTTGACATGGTAGTCTCTATCTTCTCTTTTGATTCAGATCAAGCTTTGCCAAATTATAAGATTTCTGTTTCGTGGTTCAAATTTTTGAGAATTTATTTTGAGAGAGAACTGAAATTTGTTTTACACTATGTAGCAGCGGTTGCAGTCGCGGATGCGGTCACGGTTGCAGTTACAACGGTTGCAGGTATTGTAATGCGGATTGTAACCGTTGCGGTGTGAAATTATTAATTATTTTTACTAAATATAAAAAATTTATAATTATCAATATATATTTTATTTTTAAAGATTTATACATTTTAATTTTTTTTTAAATATTCTATTATTTTAATGAATAATTTAATTTATTTTAAAATTATAGTATTAATTTATCGTATTACGGTGCATTTCAGATGTGTTGTGGATGCAATACTGTTACGTTGCGAAAAAATGTGTAATTTTCAGTCTTATTGCAATTATGATCCGATGCCGTTGCAGACAAGGCCGCAACAATAATATTACGGCCGCAATACGTGTTGCGGTCCGAAATTTAAAACCCTGCTATGTAGCAAATGTGATCGAGTTCAATGATTTATTGTGCCTTTTGGTGTGGTTCAATAATTATCATGATCTTAGACATAGCTAGTTTATTGACAGGGAGACGTTTTACTTTTAATTTAACTTTAAACACTAATAACTAGATAGGGTGTCAAGATCTAAAGGGCAAGCACACAGCAAAACAAGACAGATCTCAATAGTTAAATCAATTTCACGCAAAATAGAGTGTAATAAACCCAGGAGGTGGGCATAATGGTCCAACTAGGATGAATCACTTCTCTCACTTATCTTAATTGAGATCATTTAACTTAATAAGTATACATGTCATTTAATTCAATTGAGGTCATTCAGTTAAATAAATAAATAAATATAATTTTGGTCCACATAATTTACTATTTTTTCATTTTTGATCCCTGTATTTTTTTTAGTTGTTTCATGTTTAATATTTTATAACATTTAAAAAATAGTTTTTACTATCAATTACCGTAAATAAATCCTAAATGACAAACGAAATACATATTATATTTGTTATATTTAATTTCACTATTATCAAGTAGATAAATTAATTTTAAATTTTTAAACAATTTTAAAATATATTTAATTTCACCACACTCAAACCCTCACTTTGTGATTACGTTTTCTCTCTTCCATCCAAATTCGACGTTACAAATCCTAAACCTCATAATTCAAACAACCTCAATTGTCCAATGAAAAATTTCTCATAATCTATGTTCTCAATAATATCGTCAAGTTCGTCCTCAACAATTATAATATCAACAATGTCATCAAGTTTCTCTTCAACAATCATAATATTTAAATCAATTTAATGCAAAACAGAGTGTAATAAGCCCAAGAAGTGGGTGCACAATGGCCCAACTAAAATGAATCACTTCTCTCACCTATCTCAAGTATACATGCCTTTTAACTTAATTGAGATCATTCAGTTAAAAAGAAATTAAAATATACTTTTGGTCCATTTTTTAGAGTTAGAAAATCTTCTGAGTGAGTCAGAGTCTCAGCTCTTATCAGGAGTAACATTTTAATTATAAGGTGTAATTAATTTATTTTGATGTCTGTTTCTTTTTGTTTTCAACATATTAAAAATAAAAAACAGTATATATCATGGTGTAATGAAGTGGCCTCATGGTATTAACAAAGGGCAGTGACTCTTTCCTCAACTGTGTGTCAGTGTGGGTGTTTTTTCCCTTTCACCTCTAATATTCAATCTTCTAACCACTCATTCATTCACTATGTTTTTCCATAATTGCAGGCGAAGGACAAAGATTTGGAAACATGGCTAGAAGCAAAAATGGAATTGTTGGCTGCCATACGATTAAATGAATGTCAGCCACACAGCATTCCCATTGTTCCGGAGGAACTTGGGAAATGGAGCAAGAAAGAGTACGAGCCAAAGGTGGTGTCGATCGGGCCCCGGTTCAAGGGAAGAAAGGAACTTCTACCAATGGAAGAGATCAAGTTCCGTTGCATGCTTCACCTTTTTCATAGAAAACCATACACTTCTCTCAAGGCAATGGTAAAAGGCTCTATGAGATCCATGTTGAGCTTAGACGCAGCTGTTCGCACTAGCTATGGGGAACAAATCGATTTGGACAGCTACGGTCTAGCCACCATTATGTTACACGACGCTTGCTTTCTCTTAGAGCTTTTCATTTCTCAATCTGTGGAATGGAATTCAAAGCTACAACCCGACGATGACACACTCCCTCCTAGCCCAGCAGCTGAACTCGGGAATATCGAACTCATCTTGAGCGATCTCACCTTATTAGAAAACCAGATACCCTTTTTTGTTCTTTATAACGTCTTCTTTCAATTTTTTCCCAGACTCACTCCTGGTGACAAGTTGTTTCGCTACAAGAAATGCGTTAGAATTACACAAGATTTGGCGCTGTCTCTTTTTGGCTACTCTCGTGATTCAAGTTCTACCTCTATTCCCGATCCCATTGAAGCCTCTCACATTCTTCAACATGTTCACTCCTTCATTCTCAATCCCCAAAGCCACCATGGTTCATGTGTTATTGATATTGAAGTTGATGTTAGTAAACAAATAGAACCCAAATCCATGGTTCATGTGTTTTTGATATTGAAGTTAATGTTAATAAACAAATAGAACCCAAATTTTGTGCCACTAGGCTCTTAGCCGCTGGGGTTACTATAGTCAAAACTGAAGAGAATTCTATGATTCCAAAATTCAGCAGAAGGAATGGGGTGCTAGAAGTTCCTCCCTTGCATATCACTCAAACCATGGAAGCAAAGTGGCGAAATTTTATTGCTTGGGAGATTCACACTACCAGGTGGAAAAAGAGTGTTGGAAGAGATTTGTTCACTGTTCGGGCGTTGCTCTACAATGATTTGATATGCTGTGCAAGCGACGTTCAACTGCTTAAAAACAAAGGAATCATCGTAGATGAGTTGGGTATGAGTAATCACCATCTCATGGATCTTCTTCGTTCCATCACAAATGGAGTTGACCGTGGCCTTGTTGATTCAACTTACTGGAACATGATTCATGCCCTCAACACCTATTATGCAACAAATTGTGTCATAGGCTTTCCCATAATTGTGTGGCATTATTTGAAGAGCCGATTTTCAGAATGGCTTTACGGTCTGAACAAGTTTTTAAGGCGCGGTTACAACTTTCCTGCTGCGTTGATAACTGTTCTCACTGTCATCCAGACTTGTTATACAATACTCAGCTATCATTATCCAAAGAACAATTAGTTTTTCTTTATCCAATTTATGTTATTTAAATGATTTTCCATTGCTTTCAGAATATTTACTTGCATTGTATTAATTTCTACAAGGCAAACTTACCTTGTTTGTTTGAGTTTTTATTCCACGTTTGTCCTCTTTCTCATTATGATAAATTTGTGTGTGGTTTCTCAATTTGCTGTTCTTCTCATTGGATAATTTGTTATCATTTCAAACTTTCAATCCATATATCTAAGCAATATCAATAATGTTGCAAGCAAAGAACCATTTGAAATGAAGTCATATTATTTCATCAGCTAAGTGGAAATTTGTCAATTATATTTTGTTGTGGTGTCTATGTAATCATACTATTTCATTGTTCAACATTTAATTATTTGTCATAATTTTTATTGTAATTTATATTGTACGTATCAAGTATACCACCATATATAATTATTTGTCATTGTCACATGGTTGGATATTATAACACGTGACATAACATATGTCATGATGACCTGACACGTGGCACGACAATATGACATATGGCATAATACGTGTCAAATCCGTTAAGTATTTAAACGAAGGATACGGAAAATCAAACATTAAGATACATTTTAAAGATGTGGGACTAAATTGATTTAATTAATTAAAGTGAGACTAAATTGACACTAATAAATAATATAAAGAAAGAAAAATGTATTTTTACCTTAAAAAATATTTAAAAAATGATGAAATATATAGTGGTAAAAAAAAAAAGACAACAATAATAACACCAAAGGATTTGATCAACATGGCACATGCATGAACCATTATGAAAAAATGAAAAAACTTAAAAAAATGAAAAAAAAAATATTTTTATTTATCTATTTTTATGTTTGGTTTTTCATTTTTTTAAAAAAAATCTGATAAATAAATATAATTTATTTTTAAAAAATTGAAAAAATGTGTAAGATTTATTTAATAAATATACTAAAAATTTTAAAATAAACCTCTTTCATTTTTTTAAATATTACATATTTATAAAATTAATCACTATTTTTTCTTTTCAATTTTTTGTTTTTTTTTCAATTATGTTTCTTTTGGGTCGCTGGTGGGAATAGCGAAACCCGAATTTTTTACTAAAATAGAATTTTTTTAAAATTTTTTTATCAAAATAGCACATGTACCAATTTATTTATCCAAGTAACACCTTTTACTGTTCATACTCAGAATTCAATTCCTGGGGAACCGAATTCTAAACTTCAATTTATTTATTTTTTTGTGCTCAAAATTCGTAGTGTTTTAAAAAAAATTTTCAGTTTGTAGTCCAGGTTGCGCGTTGATTTTGTAACTGGAACGGCCCGTTCTGCAAGCAGAATGACCCATTCTAGTTGCACGCGTAGTCTATTATTTTTGCAACTGGAACATCCAAGCAGAACTAGGGATGGCAAAACGGGCCAGCCCGACCCGTTTTGGCCTGGCCCTCCATTGGCCCGCCAAAAACGGGCTGGGCTAGCCCGGCCCACCAATATAAAACGGGCAAGGGATGCTGGCCCGGCCCGCCTAAGGACGGGCTAGCGGGTTGGCGGGCCAGCCCGCATACAAAAAAAAATAATAAAAAATGGAAAATTAATATATTTTATGTTCAAATAAAAATAAATTGCTACAAATAAATAAATATAACCATATGAAATTAAAAATGCATACATATTGTACATAATATATGTTCAACAAAAGCAAATTACAAACTTAGAACAAAATCAAATAGAAATTAGTCCATTTACATCAAAATCAAAACCAAATTATAAACTTACAAATTACTTATAAACTAAATTTTTTGATATTCCACAAAACAAGTTCAAATACAATTAATTAACTTTGAATTTTTATTTTAAGAATATTAGAAGCTCTCTTCAAAGAAGTTGTCTTTACTTTTTTTCTTGATCATATTCATCCTCATCTTCTACATCAAAATAAAATAAACATAAAAATAATTAAATTAAAAAAAATAATATATATATATATATG